CCTGTGGGTGACTAAACTCCTCAGTTCCAGCCTCTCCAGCCCGTTTCTGCCCCACGGGGCCTGGTGTGCCCATCTTCCCGCCCCTCTCCCAGCTCAGGGATGACGGAAGATGACACTGCGCCAGGGGGCACGCTCCCTGCTGTCCCGGGCGGCGGTGACCGGTGCTGACACGCCATCGACTCAGAGTCTCCGGCCCACTCCTGTTCTCAGACCTCGGTTCCCTTATCCTCCCCCGCCCTACTTTCTTTCTGAGTCCACAGACGAGCAGGAGGACTCGGGGCCGGGCTGCAGGGGCATTTGCAGTGCGAGGGTGTGGCCGCCTCCACTGGCTCCCTGGGCAGGAGGGTCCAGCGGTCTCATCTCCGTGGGGCCCTGGTGAAGTGCACAGCCTTTGGGGCGCACCGTTACACAGGAGGCGCTCCGTGCAGGCTCCGTGCAGGCTCCGTCAGGCGTGCTCCTGCGGGTTCATTCTCTTCCCTCTGTGCTGACGCCTGTGGTGGAGAGCCCTCCCGCCCGCCTCCTTTCCTGCCTGCCTTCCTCTCTCTTCTCTCTCAACTTTTTGAACTATGACCTTGGCTCCCGGGAAGGTTCCCAGTGCTTTATTTAGCGCCCCCCACCCACCATGTTCCTTTCCCATAGAGATCTTTTGTGATCTCGTTGTCTGAACTGCTCCCCGCCACCACCCAACGCCCCCCCCCCCCCCATCTTATCAGCTTATCATTTTCTTTGACCCTTTTCACTCCTAGAGCCTAGAGCTTGTTTTGGCCAGAGTTCCCTGAACTTTCTGAAGAAATATCCCCTAAAGTCTAGGCCGCCCAGCTGACAATTCCCAATCTCTCTTCCCTGGGCAGTGAGGCACCCACAGGGAATTTCCCTGCGTGGAAAGTGAGCCCACAGTGAAAGTCCTTCCCCGGAGCTCAAACACCAGACTCTTCACCGGGAATGACCACCGCCATCATCCCACCACCCTGTGAACCCTGAGCCGGCCCAAGGTCAGTTGGCGGGGCTGTGCCTGCCTCTGGGAGGGGCTCAGAGCCCGGCCGGCGTGGCTCAGGGGCTGAGCGTGGACCTATGAACCAGGAGGTCACGGTTCCATTCCCGGTTGGGGCACAGGCCCGGGTTGCGGGCTCGATCCCTGGTGTGGAGCGTGCAGGAGGCCGCTGATCCATGACTCTCATCATGATGTTTCTGTCTCTCCCTCCCTCCCCTCTCTCTGGAAGCATTAATAATAACATTTTTATGAAAAAATAAATAACGGCCAAGACAGGCAGCACAGTCGAACATAACAAACCTGCTCTGTGACTCGGAACCGGGATGAGGGGCTGGATGAGCCCCCAGGAGCTTAGAATGGAGAATCGAATGCTGAGTTTAAAACGGAGAATCGGAGAGTTGACAACCCAAAGCGAAGGAACGTTAAGAAGAAGGGGCAAATCTCAGGATAGACTTTTCTTTAGAAGAATTTTAAAACTGCGCTGTCTTCCTGTTTCTTCGTCGGGGGTAAATGATTCCCAGCCATCGCATCCGTTGAACACACATGTGTTCACAGAGAAAAACTCGGGCCGAGAGCCTGCGGGCTCACAGCGTGGCGGACTGCGAGTGCGTTCTCAGGAGGCCGAGCTCTGCCCCGAGAAGCATAAAATGCAGGGACCCCAAGGTCAGGGGCAAACACCCAGTCCTTGCCAGTGGGAGTCACCTCCACTTCTCCCTGAGGGGCTCCCGATGGGTCATTGCGGGTGGAAATCTCTGGAAAAACCCGCAACCCTCTGATGCAACATTCTAGGAAAACCGCCCGCCTGTGATAAAGGGTGAATCAGTGGGGGAAGGTCCGGGGCAGCCAGTGCGTCCTGGGGCCCCTCGGCCCCACCCCTGGGCTCCCCGGGGATGCTCCAGCCAGCCTCAGCGAGGGGGCCCTGGGTGGGGAGAGGATGATGCTCAGGCGGAATTTCAACGAGACACATGCAAATGGCCCTCGGGCTGCTTAGAGGAAGTTATGGGAAGAGAGGGCTGTGGGCAGCCCAGGGTTCAGCACCCACAAAGCAGAAGTGAGGATGGTGAGATTTCCCATCCTCGCCCCCTCCCCCCCCGCCCACCCCCACCCGGGGCCCTGCTCCTTCCCTCTCCGGAATGAGGCCTGTGACTTTCCCCCATTACCCAAGTCTGAGAAAGTATCCGCCCTTAAAGGAAACTCGCCTGGTACGGCTCCTCTCCGCCCCAGGATTGAGGAGATTTGGGGCACTTGGGGTGGCCCCGGGAGCAGGGGAAAGGAGGAGGAAATGGATGACCCTATGAGCCTGCCATGTCCCAGGCCCAGGCCCAAGGCTGTCCCCAGAACCCAGCAGGCTGTTTCCACCTGCAATGAATAGACCAGAGCAGAGCCGGGAGGGTGCGATCTGACCAGGATGCCAAGTGCCTGCGCATCTGGCCCGGGTGCCACCCCGCCCCCCGACTGTGAGCCCCCCCGAGTGGCAGGCACCGTCCTTCCGGAAACGAGGACCCCCTCTGTGTATTTCAGCCACAGCTCTGCCTCGCAGCGGACTTTGGACGGAGCACTCTGCATTCCCAGCAGCTTCCACTTTTAATGAATCTCCATTGATCACCTTCCACTCACCGGGTGGGGGTGGGGCGTGTGAAGGTGCTCGCTGCTTTGGCAGGAAGTGAGCCACCTATTGGCAAGGCCTCAGGGCGCCCACTTCTTCAGGAGCTGAGCTGGTGCTGGAGCACCAGGCTTCCCCTCACCTGGTCCCCTGCCCCAGGGACTGGAGGAGAGGGCCCTGGGGAGAAAGTGGGTTCCTCCCATGTCCGGGTGAATGTGAAGCACACCTCCTCTCCTGGCCTGCTCGCCAGTTCCCACCCCAGGTGGCAGCTTTCTGCCCGACCTTCCCCTCTCTGCCCGGCAGCCCAAGGTGTAAGGAAACAGGGCGCCCACCAAGATGGGCAGTGAGCCCAGAGTGCACTGCTGTTGCTGGGGAGTGAGAGAGGAGGGGGCTGCCTCACTTCTTATTCACATATAACTCAATCTTCACTTTTATTTATTTTTATTATTATTTTTTTTATCCTCATCCCAGGATATTTTCCCACTGATTTTTAGAGAGTGGAAGAGAGAGTGAAAGACAGACAGAAACATCGATGTGAGAGAAACACATCACATCGATTGGTTGCCTCCTGCACACACCCCGACCAGGGCCTGGGCCAGGAGGAGCCTGCAACAGGGGTACAGGCCCCTAATCAGAATCGAACCCGGAACCCTTCTGTCCGAAGGCTGATGCTCTACCCACTGAGCTGAACTGGCTGGGGCTGACTGAATTTTTAATGATCTTAATTGAGGACACGTATATATTTAGTACGCATGTTGTACAAGGTGCGGACATCATGTCATAATCTGAAAGAAAAAGAAAGGAAACTGGAGGTTGTAAACTGGGGTGGAGAGCGTCTGGGGTCTGGGCAGAGCCCCTGGGGGACCCAGCAGCCGAGGCTCCGCCTTCAGCAAGCCCAGCCCTCTCAGCCTCAGAGTCCTCACCTGATCACAGGTGGGCTGCCCTGGACTCCCTCCCTCCCCCAGCCCACAGGGCGGGTGCTGGCCCGGGCGGGCCGGGGCTGGGGAGTGAGAGCCTGCCTTCAACAGGAACCAAGTGTTTCCCAGGGACTAAGTGGGCGAGGTGCTGGGTGCATGACGCGCCTTCCCAGAGCCTCTCAGACTCTCTCCCTGGGAGCCTTTTGCCCAGGAGGGAGGGTTGGGTTAGATAATGGTAGTGGCTTGCGTTCCTGTGGTGTTGCATCTGTTTTGTCTCCTTTTATTTTAAATTGAAATATATTTTTATTGATTTCAGAGAGGAAGGGAGGGGGAAGAGAGAAACATCAATGATGAGAGAGAATCGTTGATGGGCTGCCTCCTGCACGTCCCCCACTGGGGACGGAGCCCACAACCGTGACTTGTGTCCTGACCCCTGACCCCTGACCGGAATCACACCGTCATCTTCTGGTTCATAGGTTGACGGTCAACCACTGAGCCACACCGGCCAGGCTGTTCTGTCTCCTTTTACAAGTGGACAAGGGAGCGACTGCAGATGCTCTTACCCTGGCTCACGCATGTGGCCCGAGGAGCCCAGCAGTGGGTCCTGAGGTCACAGAGTAAACCCCAGGGGCCCAGGGTCGTGTGCGCAGGTACTAGCCAAGGCCCCCAGGGGGGCAGTCCTCCCTCTGGTGGGGGAGGGCCCGGGGCAGCTGGACTCTCTGACCATCAGAAGGGTTTGCTGGGCAGGATGTGGGGAGGAAAAAAGACACACACACAGCCTGGAGTTTTGGGTCACAAAACGTGACCAACTTTTATTTAGGCCATTTAGGGGGCACCCACCTGGGCTGGATAATGGAGGTTCAACACGGAGCCATCTGGACACGTGGGTGAGGGGTTAGTCGGGGAGGGCAGGTGAGTGGGACACGTGGGGACAGAGGCTGTGCCCAGACCAGCACGGGGTGCTGGGAAGACCCCAGACAGAGAGGTGGGAGCAGAGAGGAGGCTGAGCCAGCCGGGGGAGGGGGACGGGGGAGGGGGGAGGGGAGGGGGTTACCTGGCTCTGGACAGCCAGGCACCTGGCACCAGAGAAAGTTCGAGGCCTAGGAAGGACCTGGGTCTGGCCCAAAAGGGGTGGGAGCTGGGCGCGGCCTCGGAGGAAGGGGAGGAGGGGAGCCCTGCCCTAGGGTGCCCTCTGGCCCGGCCGCGCACCCTGCCGGGAAGCCCGGGCTCAGCTGCTAGCGCGGCCCGGCCCAGAATAGCCTCCCTTCCGGGCAGGGCTGCCCCGGCCGCAGCGCCAGCGCCCGAAATAGGGCTCGGCCCGGGGGCCCGCGGGGGGCCGGACCCCGGCGCGCGGCAGGGACGGGGCGGGGACCCGCATCGGGGACCCGGGACCCGGGCGGGGCGCAGGCCGAGATCCAGGAGCGGCGGAGGGGGCAGGGCGGGAGCGGGGCGGGCGCGGGCAGGGGAGGGGGCTCCGGACGGCGCGGAGGGCGGCGCGGGGCGGGGGCCGGGATCCCGGGCGCGGCGCTGACCTCACCGCCTGCGAGGAGGCCGCGGGGCGGCGCTGATGGAAGGGCTGCGGAATGCGCAGCTGGCGGGCGGCGTGTTCCCTTCTCCTGTACACAGAGCGGTTGCCATGGCACCGGAGGGGGGTACTCCAGCCTCCCGGTCCACGGGCCAGTCCCGGCCAGGCGCCCGCCCCGGGGAGGCGTGGGGGGAGGCCAGCGGCCAGCGGCCTGCAGGACCCTCACCGGCCCCGGGGCCCCGCACCCGCTCCGCTCCGGCAGTGTCGCCCTTGAGGCAGGCCTGGGCCACGCGGTCCCGCTGTACCTCGGGGGACACGGAGGCTGAGGCGCCTAACCCCCCACTCTGCCTGTGCGCCCCCACCCCTCACCGGCCTTCCCCCCACATGCTCACCTCTCTCGCCTCTCCCAGCCTCAGTTTCCCCATCTGTTAACCAGCGACCTGTCATATCTGCCATGCAGGGTTGGTGCGATTAAAATAGAGTAATGATGTCAGGGGGCCTGCCCTCTCTAAATGGGGTTCCCTCTTCCTCCCCCCCTTCCTCCTCCACCAGGCCTGGGGGCAGCTAGGCCTGCCTCTGCCCCAGCTGGTGCCCCAGGGCTGGGCTGCTGTGGTCAACACCCTCCTCACGCCCACACACCCCCCCGCCCCCCCCCCCCCCCCCGGGTTACCTTGGCGCCCGCCTCACACAGGGATGGTCGGAACCTGCAGGAATCCCGGGCTGAGGCCCAAGAATATTACTGGAGGCCCAGCCAGCTGCCGTGAGTCAGCCCCCCGCACTCATGCCGCTCCAGCTGCCCTCCCCTGCCAGCGGCCGCCAGGATGAGGCAGCCCCTGGACGTGGCTGGGGAGATGGGCATCCTGGGGGGGTGGGTAAGAGGCCCTGATCCCCCTTGTCCTCCTCAGTGGGAACCAGGGCTCGGACCCGAGCGGGAACTGTGGTACCCGTGTGAGGAAGGGCGGGCCGGGCTTACTGTAACTGCCTGGCCCGGAGCCCGCTGGTCCTGTGGTTGGGCAGGCCTGCCAGCGAGGGGCCCCCCCGAGGAGCTGCAGCCAGAGCTCGCGCTCCGTGTGTGAGGCATGGAGCGGGGCCTCCCTGCTTTCCCAGGGGCCGCCCGGAGCTGGCTAAGACTTCAGCGCTCTCCCCTAAGCAGGTCGCACCACTAGGCAAATGCCAGGCTGCTGGCGAGAATAAAGTCGGTCCCGGGCCCAGGCCTCTCTCCAGGGGCATCTGAGCCGCCAGTGCAGGCTGGGTGCTCACTAGGCACTAGGCACGGGGGGAGGGGGGTGTTTGCTCACTGAACTATCACAACAACTCTAGGAAGTGGGGACATGACACCCCCAGGTACACAGGGCAGCAGGCTGAGGCCGGCCGGTCTCCAGCTGTGAGCCAGTGAAGGAACGGGGTGGACACCCAGGCTCTGGTTGCCCACTCCAGGCTTCCGAGTGTGGCCCCAGGAGAGAAGCCGCAGACAGCCCCGCTGACCCTGGGCCTGAGCCCCTCCCCCAGGCAGCCGCTTGCTGGTACTCAGCTGACTTCCTGCCCCTGGAAGCGCCGCTGCGGGTTGGATGGGGCAGGGCGGTCCCCTTCCTGTGGTTCAGGTAAGAGCATAGCCCCGTGCCTTCTTGGCACCCTCCCTCTGCCTTTCCCTGGGCTCTAGCAGTCAGACCTGGGCACCCCAGAGTCCCCGGTGCAGGTGCGGGTCAGCGTGTGCAGAGCGAGGGCTGCAGGCCCTGCTCCGAGGGGAGGCCCTAAGGACGTCCGCCGGCTCGCTCGCAGCGACCACCTGCAGCCTTCCTCACCACACCGCCTCTCTGAGGGGATGCGGACGCGGGGCTGAGGGAGGCGATGGCAAAGCCCGCGGCTTCACCCCCAGCTCTCCCCGGCCCGGTGCGTGTGAGCGATGCCACAGGCCGTGTCCGTCTCCCCATCAGACACCGAGGGCTCTGCTGGCTGTGGGGCGTCCCGTGGGCTTTTCCCTGGTGACATGGCCAAGGGCCTGCGACACTGACCAGGTTTCCCCCGCCCAGCCCACGGCTCCACCTCCCTCTCCCGCCCACGATGCTCGGAATAAGCTTTCCGGAGGGCTTGCTCCTGTGAGGGGTCATCTGAGGTGGCTGCGACGGCAGCGCCCCGCCAGCGTCATGCCGGAAGCCGCCCGAATGAGGCCGCGTCTGTGGAGGACCGGCCGGCCTGTCGCAGGCTTCAGACACACGTCCCCTCCCGGGAGCCGTTGCCCTTAGCCCTGCTCTGGGCTCGGCCATCCGCTGGGCTCCGTCCCCGGGCGCCTTTCCAGCCCGTCCTCCTCTCGGGGAGCCTTTAACAGGACACACAGGGGCCTTCCGTGTGGCCCTCGCCTGAGAGCAGAGGCACAGTTCTCAGGCTCTTCCCGGAAGATGCCAAGAAAGGGGGAAAGTTCTGGTTGGACATCCCGCAGGCCCGACCGGCCGTGCTGGGGCGAATCGTGCCCCTCGGAGTTCATGTCCACGTGCAAACCCGTGCACGGGGCCTTATTTGGAAACCAGGTCTTTGCAGATGTGGTCAGCTAAGGTGAGGTCACCCCGGGTTGGTTTGGGCGCTGGTCCAAGGACTGGTGTCTTTGCAAGAAGAGGGCGATTTGGACACAGACACCAGGAAGACGGCCACGGCGCGGAGGCAGAGCTGGAGTGCTGTACGGAGAAGCCCGGACACCGAGGATTGCCGCAACCACACAGGCTGGGAGGAGGCTGCAGAGGGAGCACGGCTCTGCGGACACCTGGAGCTTGGACTTCCGGCCCCCACGACTGTGAGGAGATCGATGTCTGTTGTCCTCAACCACCTAGTTGGTGGTCCCTTGTGATGGCAGCCCCAGGACACTCTTACACGCCCCCCTCCCCCCAAGGTCACACAGAGGGCAGCAGAGGAGAACAAGGAGGGAGGCCAGCAGGCGTGGAAAGCCAGGACTTGGCCGAACCACGGAGCAGCCTCTTCCTCTCGCCTCGCACAGGAAGCCGGGGACCTCGTGGCTGCGTCTGGCCTGCTGCCACCTTCGTCCCCGCAGGAGCGCGTGGGGTTGGTGGCAGGTGAGCGGGAGGTGTTCTCATCGCGCTGGTCCCAGGGAGACTTTTCCAGTAGCACTGACCTCGGACATGCTCTTGTCTCAACCTCACAACCACCCAGAACAGCCGTGGGCAAACTACGGCCCGGGGGCCGGATCCGGCCCGTTTGAAATGAATAAAACTAAAAAATAAAAAAGACCTTACCCTTTTATGTAATGATGTTTACTTTGAATTTATATTAGTTCACACAAACACTCCATCCATGCTTTTGTTCCGGCCCTCCGGTCCAGTTTAAGAACCCATTGTGGCCCTTGAGTCAAAAAGTTTTCCCACCTCTGACCCAGAAGCAGGTTTGGTTGAGACCCTCATGTATCGGTTAGGGACCAAGGCCAGGCTGTTCGATACCCGCCCAGGGTCATTTATTAGCAGCACTGATCTGGGACTCAGCCCAGGCCAGCGCTCTGCCCTCTACCAGCCTGAGGCCCCGGTGGGCGGGGGGGGGGGGGGGGGGGGGTCCGCGGGTGCTGGCCACGGCAAGGATGCTGGGGCCTAGCTGCCTGGGCCTGGAAGCTTGGCCCGTTCCTGGTTAGCTGTGTGAGCTTGGGCAAGTCACCCTGCATCTCCGTTTCCCAGTTCCCCCCACTAAAAAAATGGGGACAACAAGACCTAACTGAGGGGCTGCTGGCAAAGGAAATGGTGTGTATGTTTCTGGTGCTTGGTGCTTCGGAAACATGACCTAAAAGTCTGGAATAAATAAGACACACTGGCTGAGGCCTTGCTCCAGGAGAGGGCTGTGGGCTGCGGACCTGTCTTACCCCCACTCCACAGGCTCGGGGGGACCAAGGCCCAGGGCAGAGCTGCCCCCGTCTGTTTCCCATAGTACTTTGCAGAGACGGGGCCAGCGTTCACCTGCACCCTGGCCGGCTGGTTCGGTCGCTTGAACCTTGTCTCCGAGGCCAAGGGCACCTTTGGTCCTAGTCCAGGCCGGCCTTCCCCTCCCAGAGGCAAGCTCGGACCCCTGCCATGGCCTCCACCCTGCGTCCTGGGCAGCCGCTTCCCGGGTAACTCACCGTCACGCATCACCCAGGAGAGACGGTCCCGTGCACATCCCGACGGCACTGTCTCAGATCTGCAGGAGCTCAGCATGTGCTGGACGGCACGTGCGTGCAGCGCGCGCCCACCCCTTGCACGCAGGAAGTCCCCCAGCCTTCTCTGGCCCTTTCCCCATCTTTGTGTCGGGGACCTAAACCTCTACCAGGCATCTGGCCCTTTTTAAAAAATATATATTTTTATTGATTTCAGAGAGGAAGCCAGAGGGAGGGAGAGATAGAAACATCAATGATGAGAGGATCGGCCGCCTCCTGCACACCCGCTACTGGGAATCGAGCCGACAACCCGGGCATGTGCCCTTGACCGGAATTGAACCCAGGACTTCAGCCCTCAGGCTGACGCTCTGTCCACTGAGCCAAACCGGCTAGGGCCATCTGGCCCTTTTAATTGGTTCCTCTCCAGATGTCCCTCCCAATAGCCACAGAGTGTGGCCCGGTGGCCCCATGGCCCTGTATGCTCTGCCGAGGTTGAGGGTCCTCCCCGTCCCCCCACTGGACCGACCAGCGCGGTCCTCATCCCGGTGTGGGCACGTGGCCTCTTTCCTCAGCGCGGCCCCTTGGCTGACCTCAGCTCCTCGTAGCCGGGACAGGCCTGGCCCGGCGCCTGCGGGAGGGAGGGCCGTCCGGGGCTCTCTGGGCTCCTCCCCTTCGCTCCAGAGCTCAGGCCCCAGCTGCTCAGGGTCCTTGCTGAGTTCTCAGCCAAACCCCCAAGTGAGGGCCTGAGGAACCCCATGAGGAAGCCCCAATGTGTAGGGCAGGATTCCATAGCCAATGACTGTCCGCACCCCGACTGGGCAATGCCGACTGGGCAGTGCCGACTGGGCAGTGCCGACTGGGCAATGTGGCTGAGGTCCCTTCCTGGGTGGCCTTCCTGCCAGACCCCCTTGCCTTCGTCCACCAGGTGCCAAGGGACTGAGAAGCTGGAGAGAGCCAGCCGGCCTCCCTCTGGCACACGCGGCTCCTCTCCCTCCAGCCTCGGTTTCCAGAATCCTGTAACAGAGAGGGACAGAGAGGCACTGCATCCGCCCCTGGCTCCCAGAAAGGCTCTTGGGAGCCATGTTGGGCTCCCGGAGGCTCCAGGCAAAACCCTGCTCATTGGCTTGGCCAGAGGTCTTGCTGGAACAGCCCTGGGAATTCCACGTCCATTGGCACCACCGGCCAAGCCCTGAGGCTCCCCGCTGCTGGGAGGGGGCGGCCCCGTGACCTCTGCAAGGTGTGGGTGGAGGGATGGACAGCCCTGCTGACACTGACCCCTAGGGCTGAGCGGCTTCTCGGGGGAGGCAAGTGTGCACTCAGCCACCGCTTGGACCCCGGGGGGAGCCCTGGAATCCAGGCCCATGGGGAAGAGGCGATGAGCTAATGCTTTAGGACGCGTTTTTTTGAAAAACAGAAGCACTATTTATGCAAACACAAGGTGCTGAAAAGATGCCTGTTCGCTTCCCAAAGTAAAAAGTTATGAACGATTTAAATCGTATGTAAGTGACTCCTTCGGTGCGGCCACAGGCCAAGTGGTTGGGGGTGGGGGCTTCTGCCGGGCACCCCCACTCTGCTGGGTTTTGTGAAAAACATACAAAAGCGGAAGACCCCGTGCCTGGCACCGAGCAGGCGTTCCCTGCACCATGGCTGAGGGATGAATAGCGTGAGCTCTCCCTTCCAAGAGCTCCCAGCCCCGTTTGCAAGAAACCAGCAGCAGTGACGCCATGTGACCAAGGGACTAGCATGTGGGGTGCCAGCGGAGGGAGAGGGAGTCCAGGGGAGCTTCTGGGAGGAGGCAGGAAGGAAAGGAGGACGCCTCAAAGGAGAGGCGGAATTCAAAGAGGGGGAGGGGCTGGCTGGGTAGGCAGGGTCACTGCTCCACAGGGCTCACAGGTGAGCACAGGGTGACGCGGGTGATGGGCAGGTGAGACCACCCGCTAGGAGGAAGTGTGCCCCCCCCCCGTGGGGGTGGGGCGGGGCGTTGAGGGGGCTCAGCTCTGTGCTTGGGTGAGGCCCTGCAGGTCATTAGAGGAACCGCTTGGGGGGGAGCGCCCAGGGGAACGTGTGGGTCCTGCAGGGCGAGCTGTGTGTGTGGTGCAAGGAAGGCAGTGTTTTTGGCCAAGGAGTCTGGAATGGATGTGCCCTATGGGGACGACCCAACATCTCGAAGTTCCCCAAAGTGTTTTCCCCTTTCCGGGCCATTTCCCTGTTTCTGGGCCTGTCCCGCGCCTGGAGGGAACACCTGCTGTTTCATCTTAGCTTCTGGGAAGCCACCTTGGGCCACTTCCTCCCCCTCCCCCGCCGGGCCCCGTGCCATTTTATTTTTATACCCACTCCTTTTTAGGATACTTGTTGGTTTTCTTGCCTGGTTCCCCTTTCAGACTGGAAGCCTCTTGAAGTCTCAGTGTCTCCTGATGGGCACGGATCTCCAGGCGCGGGGCTCCCTGCCTTGGCATCACTGGGAGCCCTGTTCAGGCCAGCAGCAGGGGCTGCTCCTGCACCCAAAGTTCAGAAACCCTGCAGCCCTCACCACACGACTTCACAGGCACCGCCCACAGAGATCACATTTCAAACAGCGCCCCCTGGAGTTGTGCCATGCGGCAGGTCCTCATGTTCACGTCCATACTTTCGCTCTCTTGTACAGCAAGCGTGTCAGACTCACAGGCCGACACGGGCCAAATAAGCAAGGTGTAAGTGGATGTGGCTGCAAACAAAAGCTTCAATTTTCATAGAAACGTAGGTTTATTTCGGTAGAGACATGCTGAATACAAAGGGCTGAAATAAATGAGTCATCGCTAACATAAAATAACAGAACATTTGAATAAAAATTAATATTTTTTCTCGAACATCAACTGATCAGACATGGCATAACTGCACAAATTAATAAGCGTAACGCAAATAAACCTATTTTTCTTGTTCTCCGAAAGCGAAATATTTCCCGTTGCGCACACCAAACAAGTCAGTCCAAGACTGGTGACGTGGCCATCGGCTGCTGGTATCAGTGGAGAGAAATGGTGCGCCTGTGCGTAAGGGAAATGAATGCAACACGATTATAGCCATCAGCCATTAGCAAACCTTGTAGTTCATTTTTAATAATTATGTATCACAGATATGGTAAAAATTAAGTCACAAAATTTTTATGGAAACGTTTCTTACATACCGTTATATTGGCCGGGCTGCAAAAATATTCGTCGTGGGCCGCGGGCCGCAAGTTTGACGCCTGCTGTACATCATAGGCCCTAAGCAATGTTTTTCTGTATGAAAAGAAGGCTTGAGATTTGGGGGAAGGGAGGCCCAAGAGAGGAAATGCGTTTTCTTGTGTAACGTAAATAACGACCTTGCATCCTGGTGGGTGGGTGTGTTTTATGTCTAGGTGTTTGGCCTCTTTTTATTGATTTTTAGAGAGAGAGAGAGAGAGACCAAAGTGTGTGAGAGTGAGAGAGAGAGAGAGAGAGAGAGAGAGGGAGAGAAGCCAATGTCAGAAAGAAATATGCCTCCCGCACACACCCAGACCCGGGACTGAACCTGCAACCTGGGAATGTGCCTGATCCAGAATCAAACCCGCCACCTTTGGGTGCACAGAACCCGGCTCCCACCCACCGAGCCCCGGGGCCAGGGCGCAGCCTCTTTCTAAAGCGGGGCCTGTGCGCTGTGAGCAGAGGCCGCGATGGCATTCAGGACTGCAGGACATTTTAGCGCTCAGAGCGGCCTCCTTTCAGAAGAGGGGGGTGGGGTGGGGGGCTCGCAGCCTCTCTGCCACACACACAGCTCCAGGCCGCTGTTGCTTAAGGCCGCCCAGGCTCAGGAGTGGGAAGTCCAGAGTCCTCCCTGCTTCTGGGAACAGCCCCCCCTCCGCGGCGTCCACAGGCAACAGGCAGGCCTCCTGACAGTGGGTCAGGCTCACCCAGGATTTCACAAAGGCCTGGCCTGTTCCCAGCACTGCACAGCTGGGAGGGCTCAGCGCTGGAGTGGAGAGGAGCACCCCCGCTCCCCAGGCCCTTGTCTTGCAGCGGGAAGGGCTGCACTTGTCCCTGCTTGCCACGGCGAGGGCGGTGAAGCCGGGCCTCCCCTCCCTGCTGACTTCCCAGCTGGGCTTAGTCAAGGTTCGAGGAGGAAGAGAGGAGGAGGAAGAGAGGAGGACCAGGCTTCTCTTCCCGGAAGGCGGCCAGCGGGGGTCTCGGAGTCACCTGGGAGCCGGTGGGGGCTGAGCTTCCCGGAGGGTCCTGGGGTCTCTGCTTCAAAAGGGCGGGGGCCGCCACCCGGCAGCAGCGATGCAGCCCCTCCCGGGCCTGCAGGTGTGTCCGTGCGTCCCAGGACCTGGCCGCGAGGGGGTCCCGGCCATGTCTCATTTCAGGGCCCGTAGCCTGAAAGAGCCCTGGATTCTCAGCTGGGACCTCCAGCTCTCTAACTGCCCCCCCAGCCCCCCAACCCTGGGAGACCTGCCTGTGTCTCAGGCCTCGGTTTCTCCGTCTCTGGCAGGGATGGTTCTGGCTGAGGGCAGGGTGATGGGCGGTGCTGACTGGCAGGACTTGCAGGTCTGAACTGGGACAGTGCTGGGCGGACCGGGACAAGCTGGTCATCCCACCCGAGGGTGAGACCAAACTGCGGAGGAGCGACGCACGGGAAATGCGGCTCAGGGGCCCCTTTCGGCACCAGCTGCAGCCCCTGCTGATGTGTTTACTGGTAGTTTAGGGTCTGTCACTCCCACTAACTCAGGCGAGCGGGGCGAGCAAGGCCTCGTCTGGTTCCACGCGCAATTCCCTGACGCACAGGATGTGTCCACTAAGTATTTGCTGAGTGAATCAATGAGGGAGGGAGGGGCTGGGGGCCGGGGGGCGGGGGGGGCTGTCGGAACAGGATCTCTGCAGAGAGAGTGGGGGTGGGGGCGGGAGGCCTCTGCTGCCTGGAGCGGGACTGGGCCCCCCGGGACCAGAGAACCCGATCCCCTCCGGGAAAGAGTCGGTGCTTTCTGAGCGGCGCCCCCTCGGCGGGGTCAGCGACCCCCGTGACGGGCTCCCTCCCCGCGGAGCCCGCGCGCGCCGGCCCCTCCTCTCTCCGCCCCCCGCCCCTGGGAGGTGCGCCTGGCAGCCTCCCGGCCGAATTTCCTGGCACTGCGCTGAGAATAAACACACTCCGCGCCTGCAATCCCGTCGCCATGGCGACCGCGCTCCGCGGGCGGGGGGGCGGGGCGGGCGGGCGGGGGGCGGGGCCTCTCCGCGCGCAGACTCGCTGGGCGGCGGCGGCGGCCGTGCGGGCCCCGGAGGTGCGGCCGCGCGGGCTCGGCGTGGACATTCCTCGCATAGCTCCGCCGGGGCTCCCGCGGGTCCGGGAAGTGCCTCTTCCCGGCACAGGGCGGCCTGGGAGCGACGCCGGCGGCCGCCCGCACCGGCGTGAGCGGGACGCGGCCCGGGAAGGTGCGCCCCGGACCCGGCTCTCCCCGCGTCGGCCTCGGTCTTCCCGGTGTTCCCGGTCCACTCGCGTGCACGCCGGCCCGCACCCTGCAGACTTGTCTCCGCTTAGAGTCCCCGCGGGGCTCTGGGCTCTCCCTCCGTCCCTCGGCCTGTCCGCCGCGGCGCCCCCTCCCAAGCACCCTGCTGCTCGGACCGCAGCGGCTCACGTGCCACCCGCTCCCGGCTGGGCCCCCTCCTCCAGCCCCCAGAGCAGCCTCCCATCTCCCATTCCTGGCTCTCCCTCCGCGGGAAGCCCGCCCCCCCCCCCCCAGCGGCGCCGCGGGAGAGGGGCTGGGGCCTCTGGGGGTGGGTTCTTACAGAGTCCACGGCAGCGAGGGCACAGGGCGGGGAGTGGCGAGCTCCCCCCCCACCCCCGTCCAGGGGCCAGGGCACCCCAGCTGTCCTCTTCTTAAAGCCACGGAGGCTTTGGTACCTGCTGAAGCCACCGGGAACTGTCCCCACGCCCTGCAGGATGCTTCTCAGCAAATCCCGGAACCAGGCGGCACCCCTCCTCTAGCGCCAGGGCAGAGAGCCCCCCCCTTAAGTCCTTTGGAGGAGGGGGTGCCTGCCCCTGAAAGAACTGGGAGGTCTTTGCCACAGGAGAGAAGGAGGAGGAGGAGGGACTCTGGGAGGGATTCCTGCTCTACCTTGGCCACTCCCTTGCTGTGTGACCTGAAGCAAGTTGCTTTCCTTCTCTGGGCCTCAGTGTGCAAAACCAGAGGGTAGCCCAGTCTGTGGGCTGGAAATGGAGGAGACAGAAGAGATGGGGAGAGGCTGGAGTAGTCATCAAGGGAAAGGGGTCAGGGCGTCTTCCTTCAGCCAGGGGTCCAGGCCCCTCCGTTTTGTTAGGATCCTGTGGCCACTGGACTCCCCGGCTAACAGCTGCCTCCTGAGCCGGGAGGGGGCCTTCGTGTGCTCCAGGTTCAAGGTACCCTGAAAGGCGGATGGCGGCCAACTGGCAGGCCCAGGGCAAGGAAGAGCCTGCCAGGCGCTCATCCTCCCGGGAGGCCCTGTGGAGCCAGGCCCACTGGGTCCGCTCCCCTGACCCGGTGCTCTGGGAAGGTGACGTTATCTGGCCTGTGTTCCCAGTCGCAGAGGCGGGGGTCTCTCTCGTGTGGTTCCTACGTACTCTGTCCACTCAGCGGACGGAGTGACGCCGGGCCTGGTCACTGTAGGTTATTTTCCCCAAAAGGTCAGGAAATGGGAAAGAAACACAACGTTGTTTATTTGCTCTCGGGTGCCTTTTGGACGCTGGGTCCTGGAGCAGCTTGTCGAGGGCCGGCATGTTTCAGGCATTTGCGGCTCAGGGCTGGGGACTCGGCCCCTGACTTGGGGCTGCCAGTCATCCCTCCACCTGTCGGGTCTGGGTCTGGGGGGCTTGGAGGAGGACGCAGGGGAGGAGATGCCGCAGGGAAGGTCTTTTTTGTGTGCTTTTTGCAGAGCCTTAGTGCTGAGACCCGCATCCTGGCGGTGGTGGCACTACCTCCTGGCGCTCCACCCAAGAGCAGCTCGGGGTGTGCACTCGGGGCTTCGGGCAGAATGCTCCTAGGGTCACCCCCGTGTCTTTCCCACCTTCCCAAATGGCGTGTCCTTGGCAGGTCGCTTCACCTCTGTGAACCCGAGTGGCTGCCCCCAACGAGTCCACAAATATTTACTGAGCACCGTCCTAGGCATCAGAAGTGGCCGGTCCAAGTCCCTGCTCCCGTGGACACACAGCTGTGCCTGGGAATGTGGGGTGAGAACATCAGCCTGGGGGCGTGGCTGGTAAGGTTAATCCGGGTGGCCTCCAAGGGCCCAGGGGGTGGGAGTGACCAAAGAACTAGAAGAAGAGATGGTCGGGGACCCCACCCACGGCTCAGGCTCGGGCTCCAAGGAACTAGGTGGGGAGCTGGAGGTGGTGTGGGGAGCAGAGCCCCTGGGGAGAGCCCCACCTCCCGTGAACCCAGCTGCGCCGAGGTCAGGGGTCATCACCAGGACCCTGTAGTCTGGCTTTCTCGGAAAACCTCCCTGCCAAGGAGCCAAGCGCCTCTAATAGCTTGGAGCCTCTAAAAGCTTTGACCACAGCTCAGCTTGCTCCCTGCAAGCGCTTTGAAGCGCTTCCTTCGAACTTGCTTTGCATATTCTGGTCAGATCTGAATCAGACGAGCAGGAATTACCCTCTCGGTACAGTCTCGGGGCTGCCGGAGCTTGTAAGTGACGTGAAGAGGAGCCGAGGACGCCAGGGCCGCAAGGGGGCAGGGCTGGGGAGGGTGGCGCTCCCGCCTGCCCTCCTCCCCTGCCTGGGCACGGAGTGTGGGTGTGTGTGAAAGAGAAAGCACGGCAGAGAAGGGGGAGGGCGGGGGAGGGTGGGGGGGGGGTGGCAGGGAGAAAAGATCAAGTCATGTTTTTCATTAAAAAATAGTGCTCTTTATTATAAATTACTGAAATGTTTCTTTTCGAATATAAATATAAATATGTGCAAAGTTTGACTTGGATTGGTATTTTGTTGAGTTCAAGCATCTCCTAACAGCCTTGAAGGCCTGGGTGGGGGCGGGGAGAGGACTGGAGGTGGAATCTTTATAAAAGACAGAGTGAGGCAGGTTGTAAACATCATCAAAAAAACCCAAAACAAAACCAAAATAACGAGGAAAAACAAAACAGAACACAAGAAAACACCCCAACACACAGCTGCCCCATCCAGACCAATACCCAACACAGGAAACTGTGTTAAGTTCTCCCCACCCCCAGAAAAACAATTCCAGGTCATTCCATCGCTGCTACATTCCTGTAAGTTTTCACGGATCAGTGCTGTTGTGGAGCAGCCGCTGGGTGGCAGGTGCCCCGGCCTCCGATGGATGGCTCCACGCAGGATCCCGGCCCCAGGTGAGGAGGGAGCGCTGTGCAGGGCCTGGGGCTGTGGGGGGCCTGGTGGCTGTGCTCGGGCCAGAGCCCAGGCACCAGGAGGCACCTGTGACAGGCTCAGCTGGAAGGGGCCGCCATCCACCTCTGCGCCGCCCCCGTCCCGCACTGTGGCCAGCGGCCTGCCCTCTGAGAATCCCTTGGCCTCGCCTGGGTCGGCCGAGCGTGTGGTTCTTGTGTGCCAGTCCCCATCCACGGGACAGGGAGCGTTTAAGGCAAATCTCCGAGCCAGACATAGGAGGAGGCACAAAGCAGAATCCTCCATCTTCTCTGGCCGGGATCAGGGGTCAAAGATGGCTCATCTCCTCCATCCCCCCAGCCCCCAGGTGCTGGGAGGTATAGTGTGAGGGGGGTGGGGGGAAGAACTGACCAGCCCGTCCATCCCTCCCCCTCCAAATGCCACTTCCCCCTTAAAACGGGGGAAGGGCCCTGGGCTGCTGAGCCCTCAGTGGACTCTAGGACCTGTGTTTCCTGGTGGCTGTCCCAAGGGGGAGGAAGCAGCGTGGTACCCTTCAGGTCACCCCTTGGCCTTCTCTCCAGAGCCGGGGAGGAGCGCGCAGCCACCCTCCTCACCTGGGCTGGCGGTGGGAGTGGTCGTTTCTTTGGCCAGCCTGTAGACCTGGGGGCCGGGCGCCCTCTCCGGTCCACCCTTTCCCAGGCCTGAGACGTGCTCAGGATGAAAGCCATGTTTAAAACCAAATCAAAGAGCAAACAAGTTCCTTCGGAAAGTTTACAGATTCCCCGGCAGTTCTCACTAGTTCAAGGAAGCAGAGAGGAGAGGAGAATCAATCCAATGCTGTCGCTGAAGTGGTCCCTTCCGGCCAGCGGGCCGGAGCGGGGGAGGGGCGCCCAGGTGGCACTCCCCTGCCCTCCAACACATTCCAGGCCCCGCCTGCCCCATTCTGCAGGGGGAGGGCCCGCGGGAGGGGCCGGCCCACCTCTGGGCTCACCCAGGGCGGCAGGACTCTCTCCACTGGATTCTTGTGCTTGTGCCATGTGCCACGGAGGAGAGGGGACCCAGGCCCCTCGCCCGACCCCTGCCCTTGGCCCCTTAGAGCGGCGCATCATACTGGTCCAGGAACTCCCGAATGGGGCCAGGCAGCTGGGTGACTTTCTCATAGGTGTCCAAGTGGCCGTTGACGGTCTTCCGACAGAGATGTTGGAGAGTGGCCACGTTGGAGGAGAGCGGCCTGCTCAGGACCAGAGGGATCTTCTCGCCTCCCGAGTAGATGTAATAGGCTCTCCTGGGGGGGTTCCCGGGGAGCGGCTGGGCGGGCACCTCGGAGGCGGGTTCCGTCGGGGGCGTGGGGAAGGCGGGGGCGCCCGGCGGCGGCGGCATGTAGTGATGCACCAGTTTGAGCACGCAGTCGAAGCGGGGCACGGGCTGCGTGCTGCGCGGGTCGCTCTGC